GTGACTTGAAGGCATATGCACACACTGCTTCCAGTGCATATTTCCTGCACTTTAGATGTGCATTCCTAAGTATCAGTGTCCTTCATTGAATTATAAACTTTACCAAATCAAAAGCTTCAGATCCACCAACTTACTTGCAACCTGCCCCATGGGCTGCCTGCCTCCTTCTTTTCCTATTCTTGCACATGTAATGGTGCCTGTAATTGTCCTAGTCACCATGTTGCCTTATGATGGACCACATGAAGAGCTTTCTAAGGAAATAAGAGTTTGGAAACATTATTGTTTGGAGCACAAATCCCAGAAGCTCCCAGCCAGCATGGTCACTCAGTTCCAGCAGATATCACCCAAAAAATAGTCCCCCAAAGAAAATTCTTCAGGCTCTGAAGTAAAAATGGCCAGCAGGGGAGGTGTTAACAGCCACCAAGAGTATCAGGTGCTTGGGCACAAGGAAGTTGAACTAGGCTGGTCTTAGGGCCTTTACAGACTGCCAGAAATAATGCAGCTTGAGACCACTTTAACTGCCCTGGCTCAGTGCTAGGGAATCATGGGAAGAGCCCTGGTGGCGCAGTGGTTAAATGCCTGTACTGCAGCCACTCACTCATAGACCACAAGGTTGCGAGTTCAATACTAGCCAGGGCTCAGGCTTGACTCAGGCCTGCATCCTTCCGAGGTCGCTAAAATGAGTACCCAGATGTTGGGGGCAATGAGGTTACAGTTGTAAACTGCTTAAACATCCCATAGCGCGATATGAAGCAGTATATAAATTAAGCTGCTTTGTTTTGCTTTGGTAGTTTGTTGGGGCACCAGAGCTCTCTGACAGAGAAGGCTCAGTGTCTCAGAAAAAAAACTATAATTCCCATGATTCCCTAGCACTGACCCAGTGCTGTTAAAGTGGTCTTGGGCTGCATTATTTCTGGCAGTCTGTAAAGGCCCTTAGTCTTCTCCTCTGTGACAGCAAATGAAGAGCCAGTGGCTCTGTAGTTTAGTTAAATAAAACTAGTTTAATTCATTTCCTTGTGTAAGAGAGGAATTCTCCATAAAATTAAACCACATTCAAACGTTTCATTGTATAATCTGCCATGTCATGGTTGCAGCATGCGCAGGCAGAAAACAAGAGTGAATTTGGTCCAACATATGCCAGAGCTTTTTGAGAAAGAATTTAACATAGAAACCTTGATGACGTGCCTATGAAATGAGTAATTTCACAAAATACAGGGCTTTTTTTGTTCGGCTAAAATGTCTGCCATGACTGGAGTTTGGATACATTCCCTGAAGCATTCCACTGAATGAGTGAAACCACATGCAACATGGGGAGGGCAGTCCCCTGTTCCAGCCACGTAGAGCTGCTGCCCAATTTGATGTTCTTTCTGAATCTGAGTAGATGTTTCATTTTTGACCTTTTGTTCTCTGTTTAATTGCAGAAGTAAAGTCCACTGCAGAGACCCTGAAGCCCACCTTGAAGAGCGAGGAGATAACTACTCAGTTTCCCACAGATGAGGAGGCAACTGAGTGTAATGATGGCTGTGTGGAGAATGGAGGTATTTTCTGGGTTGGTCTATCATATTGCACAACGTTTGGAGAGGTCCTCAGACAAAGAGCTGTTGCACACAACAGTGCAGCAGCTGCCCCTTGTGGAGGTTTCTATCTGGCTCCAGCCCAAGGCAGCTACTCTGAGGCAAACAAAGCAGAAGTGTCATATGTCCTTCTCTCACCCTGCCCTGCCCTGCCCTGCCCTACCTAATAGATCCAATCTGATAGTCACCCTCTGCTGGCCTTTCTAGAAAGCATTCCTCATTATCAGCCATGTCCAAATGTAGTATTTAAAGTTCTCTTTCACATTCTGAAATCAGAAGGCAACTCATACTCTACAAGGTCCAACTTATTCCCACTCTCTTTCTGCCATTTCTTACAGGTGTATGTAGGTACCTGCTTTAGTTGCCTGCTGTCCACTCTTCCACCTTTTTTTTCTCACTTTGCTTCTCACACCTTAGATCAGGGGTCGGCAACCTATGGCCCAGGGCCCGATGCTCACTGGCCCAGGCGGACCCCTGCCACCGCCGTGCATTTTGTTTGGTGTGCAGTCGCGCGTGTTGCGACCGCCATTTTGCTTTCCAAAATGGCCACGATGTGTTTGCGCATGCGCAAACGTGTCGCGGCGGTGGCGGCGTGCGGGGGGGTCGCGGCGGTAATTCCCCCGATACACTTTCCAAGGTTCCTCCACTTGATCCTTGGGTGAATTCACCTGAGGCTCAAGAAGAGGCACTTTGGAAACGGTCCTCCAAGTTGCCTCTGCTCGATCCTGAATTCGCCCAAGGATTGGGCCGGGGAGGGGCCTTGGAGGGACCTTTCCAAAGCCTCCCCGCTCGATCCTGAGGCGAATTCACCCAAGGATCGGGGCGGGGGGGCCTTGGAGGGACCTTTCCAAGGCCTCCCCGCTCGATCCTGAGGCGAATTCACCCAAGGATTGGGGTGGGGGTGCCTTGGAGGTACCTTTCCAAGGCCTCCCCGCTCGATCCTGAGGCAAATTCGCCCAAGGAT